CCAGGCAGTGCTGTTGGTCACTGGTAGGTGCTGCACTTTTGTTCTAGCTCAGGTGTGGGCCCACAGCCACATTCTGACAGGGCTCTGCCGACTCCTCCCAGCTGTGATTTTGTGCCAGCATATTTTTGTGCCATGCCCTGCACATGGGAAGCTGGTGCTCCAGGTGGTACCGAGCATGGCTCTTGCTGTGCATTGCAAGGGTGCACTCCTGTTGCAGAGAGCAGATGTTTGGGCAACTTCCCAGGAATGCACTGGCTGCTTCTGAAAGCAAACACCATCCCATGACATGATCTTAAGGAGAGATATCCCACTCTGTGGTAGGAGGGCTAAAATGTTAACTCAGCAATTCAGCAGGTCATTTTCATCTAGTCCTAGGACACTGCAGCAGCAGGAGAAGGTGGTTCAAGCCCTGGGTGTTTGGAAACTGAAAGCCCTCAGCATCCAGTCTTTTGTTGCCAGTTCACTCTGAGAAACTGAACCCATGGCTTGACGAGAGGATGTGAAGCTGTCACAGCGCACCAAAAGCATCCCTCTTCCCAAGATACAGGTGTCAGAGACTGAAATGGTTAATGATTTATTCATTCTAGGAGACTTTTGCAGGCTTTTGACTTGCATGATACCTCTGATGAGCAGTCGGGCCCCTCCCTCCCTCTGCTAATCTTGAAAGGTGGGAACCAGGCGAGACACAAAAGACTCAGCACAGACCTAGAAGATGCCTCAGGTGGACTAAGCCCTAAAAAGGCAAGAAGATGCCTCAGGTAGACTAAGCACTAAAAAGGCAAGAAGTTGCCTCAGAGGGGCTAAGCCCTAAAAGGCAAGAAGATACCTCAGGTGGCCAATCGGGCCCATCTCTCCCTCCAGTGCTAAGCCCTAAAAAGCAAACAACTCCTCATGCCAGGGAGGTGCAAAAGCATGCTGAGGGTGTATAAACTGACTGGTGACTTTGAGAATTTGGGGGGGTTCTCCTTCTCCCCCACCGCCTACAAATCAAGACCATTGCTCTCAAGCATCACTGGAAACCATGACTCTCAAGCATCACTGGATCCAGTGGGTGTTGACTGTGTCCATTTCTTTTATACTCTCAGCTTCTCTTTTCCCTTACTCTCATCCTGGTTTGTCTCTCCCCTAAACAGTTTCTCCCCCCCCCAAAAAGGTTATCTCTGTGCTGCATTGTTTTATGACAACACCCAAACTGTTAGCATGCTTGTTGATACAAGATTGTTAAAATAAACTTTGTTTTCAGACACTGATTATTTAGTGTCGTTTCACTTTAATCCACCCCAAGGGAATTATTGATAAAAACCTGAGTTACCCCCCTTCCCCTTTTCCTGGGGCGGGTCGTAACAACAGGAAATCCAGATCAGCATGCCATGCTGCTGTTGCAGTACACATGAGATGATGAAGTCTGGAAGACTGAAAGAAAACTTGACCTAGGAAACGGTATGTTCTTGCATCTCAGGCTGTGTTAGTTTTATACCCCTGTGTCATTCACTAACGTTGGTTGCATGATGGAGAGTATTTGAGTGAGAATCACAGCTAAATTTACTAATCCTAAGAAATTATAGCTATTGCATGTTATGTGAGTGTGTCCCTGTCCACTAAGGACTTGCAGGGGTCACAGATACAAGCCATATTGTTTGTGGAGCTAGAGGTGAAGAATGGGAAATGGCTTCTGGAGAAGAGACATAGGCATTGCTTAGTTTCAGCCCATCACATAGTGCTTAGATCTTTGGAGGAAGATGTTGAGAGGCACATTCTAGGGAACAGAGCTGCTACAGTTTAGGAAAGTACTTATCCCATCTCTTGACTTTATCTCAGGTGATTTTTATTGCTGTCAGAGCAGAGTCATTGGAATGGACCATGGAAACAAACACATATTGCACATTATCCTGCAGGAAGCTTTCCCATCAAATCTCCACTGAGCCCATTACAGGCTGAGTGTCACCATCTTATCTTAAAAGTGTCATGTACCTCAATCTGAAAACTACAAAGAGGCTTCTTCCTTACTAATGTTTTTCATTCAGAGTTAGGTGAGTTTATCACAACCTTGATCTTCATGAATTTCCACCATGAACATCCATTTGTGTTCTGTTTTCATTATGGAAGTACATTCCTAGCAGACCTTTCCTGGGACTATCTGTCATACTTTTTAGCTTTCAGAAAGTTGCACTGTTGCCACTGATACTTCAAATGCATTTACAAACAGCCATGTAAAAATGAAAACACTGGTAATGCACACCTTGACATTCTCTTCCAAGCCACGCACAAGATTGCCCATCAGGTTAGGGTGGGGTACATTGGTTATCCAAGAGCCCACACTACTCACTTTGTTCCTTGTGGAGACAGGTGGTTTCTGAGGCAGCCAGCACTCAAGCCAAGTAGGTTAGACATGCTGGTGTCAATACCTGGCATTAGCTCCAGCATCAGTCCTGAAATCACTGAAGCTCCTTGTCCCTCAGAAGAGACAGGGCTCAGCAATTTTCTTCAGGTATTCCATAAAAAAAAGTTGGAATCTAAAATCTTTATACTGACAACTTATGCCATTTTGGGATATCCCAGGTAATGGAAAAAACCTCAAGGCCAATTCCTGGAGGGACAAATAGCCCTGTCACTGTACTAGGCCAAAGCTGGCTCTGTGCATTCAGGCAGTGTTGAGCCTGAGGTAACCTCCTCTCCTGGAACACAGAGTGCTGCTGGCATGCAGAATGTGGCACAGCTCACCATGAGGCAGAGCCAGTCTCTTCATAGCCTATGAGGAGCCACTTGGGTCCTGTTTCCTGCTGCTCTCCTGGGCTCCTATCCTAGTCTGAGGACCACACCTGCAGAGTCTCTGGAGCACTCCCTGTAGACACCTCTGGTCCTCCTTAGATCAGGCTTGGTATCCCGTGAAAGTATTTGTGATGTTTCCCAACCTGATCAGGCAGTGCTGTGCCTCAGCTGATGGACCCAGCCAGACTTTGAAGTGAGCCAGCTAAGCTCTCTGCACCCACAGTGCAGTTAATCTGCAAGCAGAATACGAGTTGCCAAGTGACTGGTAATTGTAGCTGCTCCTCGGTGTCATCCTAGGATTGTGAATCTTGCTAGTTTGGCCATGTTTTTGAAAGGGGGCTGGCAATGTTCTGAGCTGCACTGTGTTCTTCCAGCATAGCACTTACATGAACAGCTCCCAGCATGTTCATGTTGGGAGCTGCTATCTTTCCTAAATATTTCCACAAGAAATTCCTATAACAATATTTAAAAATACCTTAAAGAAAGGGAATGTGAGTTTATTTTACAAATCTCAAAATAAATGGATTTTGCCCTCTTGCAGTCTTATCAGTTTACTCACCAGCACCATAGGATCATAGAATATCCTGAGTTGGAGGAGACCCAAAAGGATCAATAAAGTCCAATTCCATTCCACACTGAGATGTGTGCATCTCAGTGGCCTTGCCAGGATTACTTATGGGCAAGAGAGATGGTGTAGGATATATAGTGGTTCTCAGCAAGAAATGCCTGACAACATATGGCTTAATGAACAGCTGTTTTAATAAGACTGAATATGAAGAGGAATATAGACAGCAAGTAAATCTAACGCCCCTTCAGATGTTGGGCACCCTGTGTTCTGGCAGTGCTGGACAAGACCATGGTTGGATTTCCCCACAGCACATTGTGTATATCCTGCCTGTGAAGGGAAGCTCCCCACTTTTGGTCACTTGAGCTATTATATATTTTCTTACAGGGACACATTTCTGTTCCTACAGGAAGTTCGAACTTCCTGCTGCACATATAGATATGGGTTGGTTAGCGACTGCCAAGTGGGTGGTACAGCCACTGGTGCCAGGCAGGAGCTGCCCCAGGCTCCCTTGTCACAATCCACCAGCTACATTTCTCCTGAGAGCAAGGGATCTGTGTGGCCTGAGGGCCATGCTGCATGTGCAGCACAGCGCAGCACAGACCTGTGTATAGAAATTACAGATGAAATTAGGAATGTACAGGTTTCTCAGTCTCTAAGCACAAGTGAGCAGATATGGTCTCTTTGAGATTACCAGCTCCTTGAATGCCATGTTTGCTGCATGGTTCCAAATACCTGGACCCCTCTCTTTCTCCACAGAGGAAAGTCTCCTGGGTTTGATAGGGAAAGTAAGTTTTGCTGACACTTCGTGAGTGAAGTCTCTCATCAGTGGTATTTGTGAGCACTTCATCCTTGATGAAGCTGTGACATGGACATCATGGAAAGGTCTGGCAATGTACGAGGCAGAACTACTGTGCTTTCAACAGAGGAAACCTTTCAACCTTCAGGAAAGGTCTGTGTGCCATGCAAAAAAGCTGTGTCCATGGGAGGAGTGTCCTACACGTTACATAAGCCCGTTCTTCTATTCATTTTTATACTACTACTTTTCTCTTACATAAGTCCATTCTTAAATCTAACCTTTACAATACTTGGTTCTATAGGCTATATATATTTATTCCAAAAACAATAACTGGTCAATTCTACATAGCTTAACTGATTGGAATCCCTGATACACAGATCAAGATGGGAAAGGGTGAGGGGGTTTCCAAGCAGCATATATGGTCCAGTAACTTAACATACAAGGTTCAGTAACTTCTTGGCAAGATATCCATGGGTGCATACTTCAAACATAACACTCCTTAACAATTCTGCACATTGTGCTTCACAATTTTTTACCTTTAATTGAATGAACTACTTCTTTTATATGATCAAATCTCAATTATTTTATCACAACTACTTCTTCTCTGTAATTAAATCCTAATTATTTATGATACTATTTGCAATGCACAGAAGAATAAATCTCATTTTTCTGCTGAGGAAGCATTATCATCCCTTTGAAACTTAGAAGCAGGCTTCAAAGAGATTGTTCAATTATTATGTTTTTTAACCCCAAACATGTATCAGCCCTTGCTTCCCAGCTTAGGAGTTAGGAGAGCGGAAAGAACACTGCTAAGGGCAGGCATGTACGGACATGTCATTACGAGGTGGAACTGCGGTTAAGCAAAGTTTTCCTGTTTCCTCTTACGTCACCCTGAGCCCGCAGAGCCTGGGGATTTGCTCCAGCGTCGGCCGTGCGCGGAGCCCCGTTTGCAGGAGCAGAAAGGAGGACAGCACCAGAAGGGTCCACCGGGAGAGGAGAAGCCATGTACAGGAAAAAGATGAGAGGGTAAAAGAAATTGATGACCAAAAAAAACCCACCCCAGCTTCAGCTCTATGCTGTTGTTGCTTCAACCCAAGGGCACCCCTCGCTTTGCTGCCCCAGGGGGGTGCTTTCTGTCAGTGCAAAGTCTCTGCCTTGCTTGGGGAAGAAGGGCGAGGGCGATACTGGTGCCAGTGTACCCGAGTAGGAGCCCCGTCCAAAGTGTAACTGCAGTGGCCGAGGAGCTGCACCGAAGTCTGAGCCTCTTGAGGAAGTTCCCACCGGCATAGAAGCTGTCACGGGAGCCATAAACCATCGAGAAACAAAAGGCACTGACAAAAGCAAAGGAAAGATGGGGGTGTGCTGGGGAAGGGCTAAGGCTGGCTCACCCCAATGCCAGGCAGCAAGGGAATCCAAAAATGCCTCTTTTCCCTGCTCGACAGTTTCAAGGTCTTGAAACAGCCGTTGTGACACAAAATGAAGTGTCAGACCAGGCATTTTCTGTTCAATAGAGGCGGGAAAAAAGCTTTTAATGCAAAGTTTAGTAAAGAAATGCCTCGGTTGTGCGAAGCATTAGCAAGGGAGGAAAAATGCAGATTAAAGAAGTTTTGACACATCTATGGTGGTGTATTTTTAGACATTATCATTATTACTATTATTATCTTGCAATGAGCAGAATTTTAAATAGTTTCTAATAAAAAGTGGTAGAGGAAGGAAGGAAAATTATTAAATGTCTATAATGATGCGGTTTATTACACAAAGTTTTAATGAGAGATATTAGGTTTTTTGGTAAAATTTTAAAATAGTCTCATAGCATTCCTGTTCAAGTTATGGACGATGGAACAATGCAATAGCAAATTTATAAATAACAGATTTTAAAATATATTTGTAATCAGTCAATTTAATTTTCAAGTTTTAATGCACATTTATATAGCAGCTGCATATTAATGAAAAAGAAAGCCTAGGAGACAGTTATGTTGGGTGTCATCCCTCTGCCATTTTCTCCTAACTTCTCTAAATGTTTTAGGGTACAATCCACCTTTTAAATTCTCAGTCACTCTTTACAGTTGATGTACTTCTCTCCAGCTCTTAAATTCTGAGAAGGTTCACGAGACTAATGAATCAAATTTAGAAAGAAAACTAAAAATGTTTTCTTTTTTATTTATTTTATTATGTACTAACTCTTAATTTTGTGTCATATCTGTATCAAGGAACCAGCTGTTAAGTGCTTGGGTTTTTTTTAAGTTAGACTCTAACTTAAGTTAGGCTGAGTGTATATATGTACCATACATAAAAATGCTGAACAGCAAGGACTGCTTGTGAAAACCATAAAAAGAAAAAAAAAAAATTGAAGCGATTGCACGGCTTTTGGCAATTTACCTGTAAACTCACAATTTATTTGAAGTATTCTCTCTTGTTTGAGGAGAAAAAAGAATAGATGAAAGGATTATGTGATTCTGTATATATTCTCTAGTGTGTGAGTGTTTTATGATTGTTTTTAAATTTGTTGTCTGTTAAAGCTGTTTGAATTTACATTAATATATTATTTAAAAAATAGCAACTTACGTCTTGCTATATATAGCAAATATTTATAAGTATGAAGACTTTTGCTTATATTGCATTAAGTTGATTACACCATAAATTTCTCTTGGCCGAACACATCTCTAGGGTGGGTGTATCTTGAAGATTAGTGTATTGCAAGATTGTTCTAAAGAAATGCCTTTATGTCCCTGAAAATATGCACGAGACATCCACTTATCCGAAGTGCAATATTTTATGGTCAAAACACAGGCAAGAAGGTGCTTTTAGACCAGTTTAAGTAAGACTTGGAAGATTTAACTTGTTTGTATGTTATAATCAGATGGCAACATCTACAGATACCTTTGAACAAATCAGATTTCTGTAATCTATTGTAATATCACTTTCCAAAACATTAAAGATACTTTCTGTAATAATTAGGTTAACTGACTGGGCTTGAGTATTTGGAATTCAGTGTATTTTCTTTGGTGAACTTCAACCAGTTACACATATTATATATTTATTGTGAACATATGATATAATTATTTTATGTATATGTGTTCCCTAAAAATCAAGATTTAAGGAAATTTAAGCTAATAAACATTAACTTCCAAATAACATAAAATAAATAGAAAAAATGCATCTCTTTTAACACCTCAAATGAGAAAGCATAAAAATTGAGTCTGTGCTTCACTTTTGTCTCTCTTTATTGTATTTTTTAATGACATACTAAAGGAATTATATGTAATAAAAAAGTTATTCCTGTACCAGAATTAAACATTTCGTGGCATTTATGTTTGTTACATTTACATAAAGTTGATAGAAAGTCTGATAAAGAAATGTGCACGCGTGATGTCTGTGGTTTATGTAAATGGAGTTTACTTGGAGAAATAAAGAGAGAGATACATTCTGTGGTTTATAAAATGGTTTGTGTACGTATGTATTTTAGCATGTAGGAGGCTGGGATGAGAGAGGAGACAGGATAAGAACACAGAGACTATTGACTGACTCAGATAAATGATGTGATTTTTAAGTAGGCGATGAGTCTTGAAGCTAGAGAATATGTGACAGTTACTTGATCTGCAAGATTTCATTTGTCCTTTGTTCAGATTGGGGTTTTTTTGGTGGTGGGATTTTTTTCTTTGTTTATTTGGTTTAGTTTTCTTTTTTTTTTTAATTTTATTAGTGGGTGCTAATCTATAGAACAATCTGTAGGCTTATTGCTTTTTTGTTAAGAATTTGTTCAGTTGTCTACTATATTTGCCACAGATTACTCTAATGTGGAAAAACATATGCACTGAAGTGCATTCTCATATAAATCTCTATACAAGGCAATTGCATGAAGCTACAAAGTGCCTCTGGAGAGTTTGTGTCTCATTTATGTATTACAGATAATTACTAAATATAAAGGATAAATTCATGACCAACACTGGAAGTCTTTGTATAGGTACTTAATTGGCAATATGTAAAGGTCTTTTCTGAACTGAAAAGGTCTGGATCTAAGAGATGGACTATCTGTCAAAAAATATCATTCTTGGGAGCTGCATCTTTTTGTATAGAGCACTTATTTTTTTTTTCTCTCATGTAGAATTGTGCTGACTGTCCTAATCTTTATGAAGATACAATCAACAAGAGAATCCAATAAAAAGAAATATTCAGCTTCATAGTTTATGGGTGGTTTGATTGTTTTTTTATTTTTTTTTTTAGTTTTGACAAAATTTGACAAAATTCAATCCCTAGATTGAAAAGGGCTAGATAGAAGCCCTGTAAAAATATCTGACACATTAAAAAAAAATGTAGAAAGCTTTCAGAAATACACTGATAAGGAAGAGGACGACCATAGGGAGGATTAGTGGTTCAGGGCTTAGCTCCCTCACACTGCCCGTCGTGCTTACCTCTCCATTTTTCTGCACTGCTCTCTCGTGTTTTGCCCTTCTCAGTTCTCCTCTCATTTCCTGCACCCTCCCCCTTTTTTTGTGTACTGGGGTACTAATGAAAACAAAGTTGTAACCAGTGATTTCTTGAAATTTCTGTTTCAGCATGTATATATCTAAGAAGGCATTAAAAACCCAGTTTGATCCTTTTAAGTTTCCACGGGAGACATATCTACTATGCAAACTGCGATGGGGTGAGAGCGACCGCTCTTGGATACACTGGGTCAAAAATTATCCTGGCGATTATTATCATGCTGAAGTCTACTTTCTGGAGAAGATCTTTAGAATGAAACCTTACAATAATGTCAAATGTTCCATCACCTGGTACCTGTCCTGGAGCCCCTGTGTGAACTGCTGCTGTGAAATAGTGTATTTCTTAGAGAGGCACGAGAATGTGAACATAGACATTCATGTAGCACGGCTTTATTTCAAAGACTCAGAAAGAACCCGCAGAGGTCTGAAGAAACTTGCGAGGTCGGCGCAAGTAAACATTAGTGTCATGAACATGGAAGGCAAGTTTTCCCGTGCTTTGTGGGATTGGGAAAGGGTGAACCAGTGAACTTTGTGTCTGTTATGGGCTTGCTTCTGTGTCCAGTGTCCTCCCTGGCTTCTCTGAGGGCACATTAATCATTTGGTGACTGAATGTTGCATCCAAAAACAAATGTTAAAATATTGCAGGAGAAGAGGGACAGGATTCTTAGGAACCAGACCTGTATGAAAATTCTCCCTTGTTTAGAGATACTATATTTATGTCACTCCTGAGGGATGAGAGATAAGGTCCTTCTCTCTTCTCCTAGGGGACTTAAATGCATTTGCTAGGATGAGGCTGGCTGAAGGGCTCCTCTGCATTTAAAAGAGGGGAAAAAATTGCCTAGGGAGAATGGCATTGGTTCCAAATATGGAGTGGACAGCATCCATCAGCTGACCTGTCCATGGCCAAGCTGTCTCTATGACACGGACACAAGAAAGAGGTTAAAAAGTCTTGTTCCATGAGCTTCTCTGGCATCTGAATAAACTCAGGTTAATCATCTTGCTTCTATTTCTCCAGACTATAAGGACTGTTCGAAAAACTTTATCCAAGGAGGTGCTGATGATTTCTGGACTGTGAACTTTGAGTCAGAGATAACAAAGAATTGTTTGAAACTCTGGGACATCTTAGAGGTTAGTAGATTTCTGAGCAATAGAGGGAACCACATGAATGCTGATTTGCAGTCTGGGGTAACTGAGCTGTAAAGAGAAGGAAAGAAGCCATTCATGTCTAGTAGGAGTTTAAAGAGTGCTGCAGCAGACTTTTTGGAAACAGTAATATGGTAAAATCATGGGAACTATCCTGTCCCATTGAGAGAAAAGTGTTGTGGGGTTTTTTCTATCATATTATGAAGCACAGGCTAAGAGGGCAGTTTTTCTCCTTCAGGCTCCAGAGTGGGAAATCCCTTGATTTTTACCTGGAACTCCAGTCTTATCCCAGAAACCCTCCACCAGATTCCTTTATAACCCAGATCTGAGCATGGGTTTCAGTTCACCAAATGATGCTACCCAACCCCTTTCTGTCAGTATCTGCAGCGGTCTGACAGCCTCCCAGTCACTGGGCCCCTCTATAATACTTCATTGAAGTCCTTTCCAGATTCGATTCAGCAAATTCCATGACTGGCTGGAAGGGTCCAGTGTCTGTGAGATGAGAAAAGCTGTTCAAAAGAGAATTTCTGTCCCCTGTGAAAATTCAACCTTTGTTTTTGTTTTGTGCCAGACCTCCTGAAAGGCAGGAGACAGAAGACAGTCTTCAATAACAGTGCTGAAAGTTTGTGCCCCTGGAGAGAAGAGATTGTGCTTGAATGAATAGGTCCACATTCTTGGCCTGAAAGGAATGTGGAAAAAAATATAGTGTACAAAAAAAATCTAGCAAAACTAATATAGGTGCTGTAGCACTTCGATTTCACTGTATTAGAGTTTTCTGACAAATGCTATTTTTAGTGAAACAGAGTGAAAGAAATCTATGGCTAAGGGGGTCATTGATTATGTCTGTTACAAATCACAGCAGGTCCAAAGTGCAGTTAGAGGATCTAAATGTTATACTTTTATTTTCATTTTAGGATCTTCATTTATAGAATCGAAGAATCACAGAATATCTCAAGTTAAAGTGACCAAAAAGGATCATCAAGTCCAACGCCCTGCTCCTTGCAGGATGACCTAAAACCAAACAATATGACTAATAAGCATCATTTAGGTGCTTCTTGAACTCTGACAGGCCTGATGTGGTGACCACTTCCCTGGGGATCCTGTTTCTGTGACTGACCACCTTCTCAATGAAGAACCTTTTTCTAATGTCCAAGCTGAACATCCACTAATGCAGCTTCATTCCATTTAGTCCAGTCCTGTCACTGATCACAAGAAAGTCAGTTTCAGGATTACTTCAGAATTGTCCTGTCCCAGCTGGAGAATCCAAGACTCACTCTTGTTAAATTTTGTACAGTTGGTGACTGCACAGCTCTCCAGTCTATCCAGATCTCTCTGCAGGGTCAGATCTCTCCAACCGCAAGGGAGTCCACAGTTCCTTCTAGTTTAATATAATTGACATAAGTACTTAGTTTTGATTCCTACATTTGATTCCTGCATACAGATAATTTATAAAAACATTGAAGATCACTGGCAGTAAAACTGAGCCCTGAGGAACCCCAGAGGTGACTGGTCAACAGCCCGATGTAACCCCATTTACTGTAGCTTTTTGGGCTATCAGCCAATTGCTCACCCAATGCCCTATGGACTTGTCTCTCTGTGTGCTGGACATTTTATCCTGAAGGATACTGTGAGAGTAGTATAAAATCTTTCCTAAAATCCAAACCCACTACATCTACTTGCTTCCCTTGGTCAACTAGATGAGTGACCTTATAATGAAATGAAATGAGGTTGGTTAAGCAGGACTTTCCCCTTGTGAACCTGTGCTGACTATGACTGATGACTGCAGTCTTGTGAGAGACTGAAAACCTGAAAGAGTTAATGTCTCAAACACCTGGCAGAAGAGAAAAGGAATGTTACCCTGCAAACTGAGACAAGGTGCAGTTAAAAAAGGGGGTCTTGAGGAGGCAGGATAGTGCTTTTCTGGGTCCAACTTCCTTAGGTAACTATGTCTAAAAACTAAATTTGAGACAGCATTGCACTTGTGTTTCAGATGGAGGAGGGTAATTGAAACCACGATACCCCCCAACCCCTTCTGAAAAGTTCAAGAATAACAAAATGTACATGTGTGAGGACTAGGCTATAAATAGTGCAACGGAGGGGCAGGGTGTGCACCCACCATCCAGGCACCCTCCATCTGGAGGAACCGGACCAGAGACGGCACTGGAACCCTGTGTGGTGATCCAGATCTTTTTTTCTCTACCTCTATTTTCCTATCTTTCCTTTTTCCGTTCTTCCTCTCCTTAAAAGTTGAACTCCCTGTGGTCGCAGGCTGTTCAAAGATCACTGCCATATTTTATTCAGAAAGGTTTCATCCACAGGCTGTTCAGAAATGTTTAAATTGTTGTTGCTACAGCTTGCCTAACCTATCATAAAGTTTAAATCACTACTGCCTATATAAATAAAACTTTCCAGTTGATCCAATTGAATCTAATTGATTTAGCCCAAGGGAATCTGGAACTTTGGCTACCTCAGAGTGAGGAGCCCAGAACCTCCCTTTTGGGACCCGGCAGTTGTTTCTCAGAATAACCTTCTCCATAATTTTACCAGGCAGTGAAGTGAGACTGGCAGACCTGTAATTACCAGGGTCTTCCTTCTTACCTTTCTTGAAAACTGGGGCAATATCGTCATCTTCCAGTTGACTGGGACCTCTCCAGACTTGGCCAGCTCCTTCAGTATCCTGGGACAAATCCCATCCAGCCCCATAGATTTATGCTTACTCATCTGGAGCAGCCACTCTTGAACAAGGTCAAGGTTGTCTCTGAGTTTATCATCCCCTCAGTCATGGTCTTTCAACAGAAGGCTCCTGAGGTCCCAAGGCCCATCACTGTTATTAAAGACAGAGGCAAAGAAGGTATTAAACACCTCTGCTTTGTTCCTATTTGTGATGTGATCTCTGTCACTGAGTAGCAGACCAACATTATCTCTGATCCTCTACTAAGACATTTCACACACAGCACATGGTCAGCTGCCTTACTGCTTCTGTGGAGAATGTTGTAATGTAAAATGTTCCTAACATTCCCCAGTTTCTAAAGGTCACCAAGAACCTGGACAGACAGCTTGTCACTGAAAGACTTGAATATATTTGACAATGCTAAACATCCCTAGTGAGAAACTTCTGGATGTAGAAATGGAGGCAGGTAGCAGCCAGAATGGGGAACAGTGTCCCAGGCCCCATACTCTGCTAACTTTTTTATTCCTCTGATGTGGTCTAGTTGTGCACAGGATGATGCGAGAAGGGTACTTAAAGAGGATTGCTAAATTAGCAGTTGATTAATCCACTTTAACTTATTTCAGCTGAGGCATTTTGATGAAAACAGGTTATTTCCTTCACTCTTGAAAAATGATTCTCTGGCAAGAGAAGGTCAGGATGCCAAAAGGAACATCTCTGGAGACTTGCTGTCCTCTCGGCTAGCCTTGTCTCCTACCTCATGGTGCAAGAGGAACAGAACAAACCTGAAACCACAGAAAATGCCCCATCAGGGCAGAAAGCGTAGTCCAGACACTGTGTCTAGCAGTGTCAGAAGGAGACATTTTTCAGAGAGAGCAGACAATCCTGGCCACTATCTGTGATTCATTATGATCCTGTCACACTACCTCAATACTCACAATGACTGTGTGTTTGGGAACTCTGCATTTTACCTTTAGTGTCCGTATATGGACTTTTTACCATGAATTTCTTGGATCTACTTTGACCCTGTCCTGCCATCTGCATCCACAGTTTACTGGGCAGAAGATTCCAGAAGTTCATAGTTTGCCATGTAAATAAGCACTTGCCTCTGTTTTAAACTGATCGACTTATCACAGTGTGTCGGTTCACTAGTCTGCATTAGAAAGACTGTGCTAACCTAGAGAATTTTCCACTGACTCAGTGGGAGCTATAACACATAACTGACAGCAGCACTTGATCTTAAAAGAGCAGCTTAAAAAAATCCACAGATGCTCCATTTGAAAGAAGGAAATCCTCTATCCACCGAAAGATGTGACTGTGAGATTATAATTACAGTATGGTCATTGCATTTCAGCATCTCCACTCAGCTAGCGAAAAGGAGTAAGAAGGTATTTTTATCTGCTAGTCCATCCTGGAACTGGACTGCTAGATGTGTTCACTGGAAATCCCTTGAAAAACAAGTCACATTAAGCTGCACGAAGAACTGTAGGAATGCAGCTGTATTCCTTTCAGTAGTCAAGCTGTCAGTAGTCAACTAACAACTGCTCTGTCCAGTTGTTAGTTCCTCTGACATGTGCAGAAGTACAAGCCCTGCTGTTGGTAGTATGCTTGGGAATAGAACCTCTCTCCATGCCCTGTTTTTGATCCTAGATTATTTTTGCAAGACCAGGATAAATATTCATTGATTTATACCCATTTTAGTCATTGAACACTAAAGGTATATTTGGGCCTGATTCTTCTTTCATTTTTACTGCTAATCTTTTAACATAATCAATAGAATTAACCAGAATTTTGGATCAGTCTAACCTTGCAGCGGCCAGGTGGAGGGGAGCAAAAACACCGACACGATGTAGGTAAAGCAGAACTCCTTTTATTGAAGCTTGCATAACTCCGTTTATTGAAGCTTCTATGGTTACATTTATGCTTGTCTCACTTCCGTACATGCGTTCACGCATAAGCTTATTGGCTACATCACCTTGTCCACGCGCAAGACATGTGAACAAGGGGTTCTCCTCATTGGTTACCTATATTGGTGTCATTAATGCTCTGCGGCTACAAGTTCCTGTTTTCACTACCCAACCCTGTATCCTGTTTTTCTCCTTTTGTCCTTTGTGGTCAGACATGACCTTCACAGCTTATACACGACTGTATACACTTTCAATTGTTCTCAATCCCCGGCCTCCTACATCACCTAAAGAGAATTTAGCTTATGAAAACTTAGAGATGATAACCTGTAACTCACAAAATGGCAACACTCCTCAGTTAATAATGTTCACTTTGGTAGATGTGTTCTCTTGTTTTGATATGGGTCTTAATATCTTATATGTTCAAGAGCTGATGCTTTCAAGGTGGTTATAAAGAGTCAGAGTAAACCAAACCACTCACACAGGTTGTCATGGGGGAAGAGACACGTAGACAATGTGAAACTGCTAAGCTCAATTTATGAAGTGGACCAAGTGTCCCCCATAATCTCTAATGCTGAAGGTGTTTGTAACTAGTTATCACAGGCTGCCAGTCAAACAATATCACAGTGTACACCTTCCCAGCAGCTTTGGGGATGGTTCTGTAGCTTGTTGGTCCATTGCCTGTGCCACAGCTCTTTATGTTTAGTTCTTGTTTATACTGTCCTGTTCGCCCTGACCTACCACACTCAGCCCCTGTTTTCACAGCTCTTGGCCAAAGCAAGGTTGTGACATTCCTATGTCATAAGCAAGGAAGAACTCTGAATTATTTTCACAGTAAAAAACAAAGACAGTTATTATGGTCTGTACCTCTCAGGGCCCTGAGGATTTAAAAAAAAAAAAAATTGGTTATCTTGACCACTCTAACTTGGGAATTCCGCTGACACACTGCCCACAGATGGCCCAGGAATGACATTTAAGCTCAGGTCTGCACTATTAGTCCCTGCTTGTGCTGCGATGTAGATGTGCTTGTCTCCATCTCTCACATTCATGCATATGTCCATGCCCATGGCAAGCCATGGATCCTGTTGATCTGTTTCCTGACCCATGAACTGATTTTCTGGCTTAATCTCAGACCTGTCTCATCTCTATGGACCAGCCTGGTGATCAGTGTCTCTGTGTGACCTTGGTTGCCATCACAGGACCTGATCCTGACCTAAGGATTGACTCCACAGCTTGACATAGGACCTGCCTCGTCAGCATGAAAATCTGGGCTCTTGGTTGATCCTGACTGCTAGCCCCATGAACATATCATTAGACAACATGGGAGATCCCTGCAGTCAGTTGTCCCAGTTGTGTTACCTCCCATCATCTCGTCCACCCCCAGCCTACTCACCTGGGGACGCAGTCAGAAACAAATACTAAATGTTGGAGCTAAAACATCGATGTGTTATCAACACTGTTTTGGTCACTGGGCTAAACCCCAACACTATATGGGCTGTTATAAAGAAAATTGACTCCATCCTTGATGGTGCCCCTTGGTTGTAATACCTGATTCTGGTGGATGTTTTCTACTTTTGATGGAGGTTTTACCTCCCATGGGAGCTACAGCTTCCAGGTGAATTTTGGAGAGAGTTTAACCATATAAGGTTGTCATTAAGCAATCCCTGAATTCTTGGAAAAGAAAAGCTCAGCACTGAATGTTTCTGGAGCTGCTCTGAACACTCCCTGGTATGATAGAGAAGGAATGGATGAATCATTGCTTTCTGTCAAGTGAAGTCCATCTGGTTATGCTGTCCCCCTCACTGTTTTAAACTCTGCCAGTTGTGTGATGACAGTATGACAGATGCAGGCTCTCAAGGGTACTAGAGACACTCATGCCCACCAGGTTTGGAGTAGTTATTGTTCTGCTTAGTGTTTTGACAAAGCATGTGCACTGAAACAAAGACATAGAAATGAGGCAAAATCAGAAAGATAAATATACAGAACGTCTGTGATGCAAAGTAGTGTAAGACTGCAGAAGGACTGCTTAGAGTAGGAAAACATATTCCAAAATACCTTCACTTGCAGCTTTTCTTTTTCACACTGATTCCTCATGAGGTATCTTTGATCCACTTCTCTGATTTCTGCAGCCTCACCAGTTAATGTGAAAGAATTATATTACAAGGATATTGGGATGTTTTGTTTAGCTAAGAAAAATTAATCCTGAAGTAAACACGCAGGTAAGCGCTTCCCACTAGCTGCCTGTTTTCCACTTTGCCTGGGTCAGGGCTCTGCCTGCACACCCTTGTGTCTGGCTGTCATTCCACTTCGTTGAACAGAGTCAGACTCATAAAGCTCACCCAGCAGCAGCACAGTGTCGCCAGTTATCTTAATCTCTTAAGTTTCGGTTTCCGCATTCAGAAGCCGAATAAGAGTCTCAATGAAGTCTGATGACGCTGTGTAACCTGCAGAGGAATGGAAAGCAAAGGTGCTGTGAGAGATAAAAGAGTTCCAAAGTCCTATGCTGCTAAGGAGGTGTATTTGTGTATCTACAAGCCTTTTTTAATATGCTTTATTGCATTTTTTTGCATACATAAATATGTGTAAATATCTTTGTGAGTGTGTATTCATACATATAGATTCATACATAGAGACACATTTTAGACTTTTTTATATGTGAAGTTCACAGAGTAAATCTTAAAACACTTTGTGTGTGGTCTTTCTTTCGATAAAAAATATAGATATCTACTGAGAAAACTCCATTAAAATCAAACAAGCATGCAGTGGATTTTCTTTTTACTGTCAAATGTGCCAGCAGCAGAACACTTGAACTAACACAGGATTTACCATTTCAAATTAAGACCAGGAGGCAGCCTGTAAACTGAGATTGAGACCTAAGCCTCTGTAGCATAAGCCCCAGGCTTTTAGTCACATTTAAATTCTGTCTTCCTCTTTGCTTCCAAACTTCCACTGATTCTCACCTCTTTGCAACAGATCATTCAGCTAGAGAATAGGAAGCTGAGTATCTGTAAAATTCTCAGAGATTTGCAAATTGGGATCTGGGCTGATTCAAACCTTGTCCCTTTTTGTCGTCTTTGATGTCTGACCTCACTTTCCTTCCTCTGTGCTCCTCTTTCTTCTAACCTGTCTGTCTTCCCTAATTTCTTCCATATGTTTCAATTTCTAGGACCTTACCTCAGCCCGAATTTGTTACTAGACATGCTTCTTGGATTTCAGGTGTCACATAAACCAAAAGACATTTGAGAAAAAATACAAACTATGTGAGACACAGGTGACTCAGCGAGATAAATTAGGGGAGTAGTGCATCAGTAGACACCACCTCTGTAATACATCATAGCTGCAGAACTGTTATGCTGCTGTTTCCTGGGAGACATCTGAAGGGAGTTAGTTCCCTGTTTCTCTGTCCCCCTCTCTATCATTCAGTGCATATCTCGGAGGCCCTCTGCAAAGTGTTCTGAAGAAATTGTGAAGCTTCTAGATTATTATCCACGGTGAATCCAGTCAAATGTATATGACATGACTCTACTACCAAAGGGAATATTCTCATGAAGGTCTAAGGAACCTGATGGCTAAAGGAGTCATGAGTGAGTGTATGTCCACCATTCTGTGTGGCCTTTGCTATGTATGTTCCTCCAAAATGCATTTAGGTTCATGAGGCATGCATATGAGGGTGCTGGTTCCTTAAAAAAACCCCAAACATTTGCTGGAGCGGATGAGATATATTCAGATGTTACCAGTAGCTCTGCATCACAAATCATCTTCACATTTATCTCTAACATTACCTTCTGTAAGCAACTTCTGTAAGGGGACGTAATTGACTATGAGAGAAGTAGAATAAAAAATTTTTCACAGCTGTTTGAGTAATATGAGGCTCCACCTATACATATGACCATTGCTACAGGCACATAGCAATTTAAAGGTATACTGGATTACTGCTGTTTGCTCATAAAGACCAAGAAACAGGTTTTTCCCACCCAGATATATGATCTGAGGCCATCATCCTCCTCTGACTCACTGAAGTCTTTTCCCTGTAAACAGAATGTGCAAGTTCTTCTAGATGTACAAAAATTCTCTTGTGTGGTAACCTTGTCTTTCTGATTTTATTAAGGTGAAACCACCAACGGAATTACAAAGGGATTTCTCTCCTCATATTAGACTGGCAGGAATGACAGAACATTTCCTTTTTAAATTTTTTTTCCTTTTGTTTTTCCACCATTTCATAGAGCACACTCAGCTTCCTGGAGATACCTGAAAATGTTGTGTTGCTAATTTCCTGCTTCTGTTTGGACTCATTTTTCTCTCCCTGCTTTCTGTGGCATGTTCTGGTTTTATATCAGGAACTACTGCTGCTAATCAAGCCATTTCTTGCAGATCAGAGCAATCATCTTGAAGCCTTATTTACATCTGCATATTTGTAAGTACCTACTGCAGGGAGAAGGCAATGAAGAGAGTACTACAGTAGCAATGCATTCCTGGTCTTACTGAGAAACATGTCCATGAACTCAGAACTACATTAGTGAATCACTTTTTTGTTTCAAGAACCTCTGAGTGTCTGAGTCGATCCCATTCACTCTCCCTAAGGTATGAAATAATACAACCACTAGGGAACAATTCTATGCTGTGAAGTGAGGGGTGACCTTGCAGCAGAAGAGGCCCTGTAGGTAGACTCTGTGTTGCCACTGAAGTGCCTGATAACCTGCCATGACTAGTCTTCTTCTTCAGGAGAGTCCTGACAATGCCTGAATCCCTACTCCCTCTGAACTCCACCATTCATCTATGCTTATGTTTCGTCTACCCTGGCAGGAAACTGAACAATTTTTGACAATAGAATACTGAGAGCTGGCTGCAGAGAATACAAATAAATCACTCCCCTGGCTTTACAATCCCAAGTCAGACTTGGCATTGAAGAAGGCAATGGCTTTATCCTCAGGGAGTGCACATTACTGGATGATGACTCACCAGGAATCCATTTCTACAGCTTGCATCAGGGCCACAAAATAATTGTGTCACAAAACCAGAGAAAACTGTGACAGAGACTGATTCTACCTAAGCCATATGAAGAATTCTTTTGTAATCCCTTTCCTCTGCAAGCCAGTTTTGGGCCAGTCAGAGGAAATTTCACTAGAAACTAGCATTGTTTCACTCATTTTTCAGATGAGTACATATGAGTACAGAGCTCTTCTCAGCTGTGACATTTCAAAAATGTCTTGGTGTTCCCTCACAAAAAGCTGTCAACTGCTGAAGCTCTCTTGGATGATAGGCAGCTTGCTTCAAGTTCACCTGAGAGTGTCTGCACAGTCACTGACCACAGCTCAGTGGTCACACACATTGAGGGTTTTCTTTGTTTACGTGAGGACCTAGGTTTGAGGGTGTGTGAGTGGTCCTTGGAACTCCACATGAGTAGTCCCATAAAGTGAAATGGCAGGAGCCACCATCACCTGCTGGAGTTCTACAGACTCACGGGGTTTTGCCCGTGATGTCATCTGTCTCCCTCTCTCCATTGGGTTCTGCTCAACTTTCTGATATATCTGGGTGTCAGAAAAGTTATCTGCCATTCCATAGCTATGTGTCTTGATGCCATTTGTGTAAATGCTTTTCTCTCGGTGCATTGGGGTGACTAGAGAAGATTTGCTTTTCTGTTCTGGAGCTAAAGGTAATAAAGAGATGTAATTTTTGTCTGCACTGCAAAATAAAAAAAAAAGTCTCACCTGTTAATTCCAGCTTCTGGAAGGTAACCTTGTATTCAGGGCCAGATCCATTTCTGAATGGCAGCACCCTCATTTACAGTCTTTTGCTGCCAGGAATTTGCTTTCAGCTTCAGCCAGTGGGGTAGTGCAAATAAGCATAAGAAAAAGTCACCACAAGGAAACATTCAGCTGAGTAACATTAGAGACGCCCGAAGTTCAGCATTAGGGAATAGAAACCGAAACAAATGTAAGGCTAATAAAGGCACATCCATTGGCCAAGAGGTGACACACAAAACCAGAGACATCCATGGCTGCGGTCAGTGGCAGAGGTAAGTAAATTTATGTGAAATGTAGGCCTATTTCTCCATATTCAAGTGTAGATATTTACTGTAGTTGTATCTAAGAAACTGGAGAGTAGGGAAAAATGTGTTGTGTTGGCACATGAGGATACACAGGAGACACTTGTGGATATGCGTATTATCTCTTTGAATGCATTATCATATATTGAGTCTTAGGTCCAGCTTCAAAATATTAATATAATTTTGTTAACCTTAATGTGGAAAAAAGAATTCAAAATCCAAAAGAACTTTTAATGTGAAAGAGACCTGAAAAGCAATTAAGAATGGAGCAAATTAGTTAGCTTATCTACTCACTTATTTTATTTTCATTGTGATAAACAACTAGAATATTCTTCTTAAAGAATCAGGGCAACATGGCTGTGCAAAGAGTTGATCATGTCTCTATTGATGTGGAAGACTATTTTATTTCTGCTGAAATGCAATTTGACTCCGTATATTTCATAATTTCTCATCTTAAAGACCTAAGCTGTGGAAAAAGTGCCTTTAGTATCTTAATTCTAAGTAAATTATTTTTATTATATTATATATTATATGTAAAATAAAAATTAATTATTTTAAATTTTAATTCTATATAAAATTTATGTATAAATTTGTAAAGGGAAATAAATTTCAATTAATCTATTAAATAAAATTACGGTTCCTCGATCCTTAATTTCACTATAGATGGATTTTTACAAAATAAATAGGTAGCCTTGATCACCTGCAAGTGATCAAGTGTTTTTCTCTACACTCTCAGCTGGGAAGGGATCAATGAGTCATGGGGTCAAACTTGCCTGCTACCATGAGAGGCAAAATGTGTATAATCAGGCAGCTCTGTGGTGCTCCCCCTTGGGTATTTGTTAGTCAGAAATCATCCTCCTTTCTTCATTATATTTTTTCCTTGACACTGATACTTTTCTAGCTTTTGAAATGGTTTCATAATAAGTGAGGAAGGGATTGTTGGTTGCGAAAATGTTTTTGTCTAGACTGACATTATGAGTTACAATAGGAAAATAGCTCAAGTTTTGCCTGCCTAGTAGAAGTGGTTTGGAAGATTTAAAGGGATAAGAGATTTGATTCCGCTCTTTGATTAGTCAGAGAAAAACAGATGCAGTACTGCTGAAATCAGTGAAGTTAAACTCGAGTGTTTACACAATCAACCCTAATGTGTTAAACTGAGCAAGGGTTCAGGTAGAGTATAAACAGCCATCAAGTTCAACTCCCAGGTAGGAATCCACCCCTCCTGCATTCCAGAGTGCTTATTCTGCTGTGCAGACATTACTTATTAAGTCCTTTTAGAGAAAAGAGATTTGGCAGGGAGTGTATAGACTGAAAGGGGTCCGGAGAGAAAGTGTAGAGGAAATTTTGTTTTCTGATCTGCTATCCTCAATGACTTACAAATCTTTTCCATATAGATCCTGCACCCAGAAAGGAAAACCAAGGGTAAGAGATGTCATCTATCACTGTGTGCTGTTTGAGCTCCATGGTGATTTCCAGAGACAGCCTTGTGCCTTGTTTTCCTCTTAACATCCCTTTCCCCAATCTTCCTTTTCCGTTTTCTTACTGCTTTGACTGGTGCTGATCCCTGAGTGGTGATGGGGCTGCTTATGCACCCAACAGTTCTCAACAAAGTGCTGTGGGTGTTCTGGAGTCTTCATCAAATTCCAGATTTAGATCATTAGATTGCGACATTCTTCAGGCTGCTCATTTGTGATGGGAAAGGCTGAAAGTGGGAGGCTTGACTGATGCTGAGAGCAGGCAATGCACAACAGGACCAAACACCGTTGAAGAGCCAGGATCACAGTACTGCTGGTACTTCTGTTGCAGGTGGAAGATACAGCCAAAAGACTTCAAAAGAAATTATTTGCCTGGCCGACATCCACAGGTGGTGTACCTGCTGTATGAAATCAGGTGGAGAAATGGTTCCATCTGGAGGAACTGGTTCTCAAACAATCGTAACCAACATGCTGAAGTCAACTTCTTGGAAAATTGCTTCAGTGATGTGCCACCAGCTCCTTGTTCCATCACCTGGTTCCTTTCAACTAGTCCCTGTGGAAAATGCTCCAGGAGAATTCTGGAGTTCCTGAGGACACATCGTAATGTGACCTTGGAAATATACGCAGCCAAGCTGTTCAGGCACCAGGATATGCGCAACCGGCAAGGTCTCTGCAACCTGGTGATGAACGGAGTCACTATACGTATCATGAATCTTGCAGGTAACCCAACTACTCTTTGGTGGCTTTGTCTAGCTGTGGATTGAAAGTTTTGGGACTATGTGCACTCTCAGTTTGTAATAGAGGTGATGACTGGCATTGTGGAGGACTAGTGAGTGCAAAAATGTCACTCTGTTCTGCCTTATTTTTTCCCCAGTCCTATACAGCAGCAGGACTGACCTGGTCATTTCCTCTTGCCAAATCTGAACATGGAGAGTTAGGGCTTTCTCTAGCCATCCACGCCTCCCTTATATGCAGTGAAAAATCCTGGGTTTAAGACAAGAACCTGTCCCTCCTAGCATATATATGCAGATCAGCTTGCCAGCTGCAGCCAGTAATTGCTTTCCCTTGATAGAGACTTTTAGATGATGCAGCACAGAGAATATGTCTTGCACGTGTGCCTTTTTGTGTGTATATCTTGCTTGCCTGTTGATGTTCGGCTGTACAAATAGTCCGGACAAGCAACTCACAGAAAGGAATGTACATTTGAAGAGATGAACCTCACACGCCTGTCTGGACACTTACTACTGGAGTGTGCAGCTATTAAATCCACCAGGTCTAATGCATTCTTAAAGGACACTGCTTATCTTGTGGAACCTATCTCTGCGATTATACCACCAGAGCACTGACAGAAGCTCTGGCCACCCTGTTAACACTAAGATCATTCTGAAGCTGATAAATGTTGGAGTGTTCACTCCAGGTTTTCTCTAATCATTGAGATAAGTGTGCTGGTTTAAAGGTAAACCAGCAGGGGAAATGAACTCAACTCAAAAGAGAGATTATAAGTCAAAATAACAATTTAATAAATAATACAGTAAGTACAATTATACAGACAAACAATTGGTTTTAACCCACAAAACCCAAATATATAACCCAGCACCCTGGGGCATGAACCGAGTGGTGTTCTTTGGGCCTCCTGAGTCCAAAGGAAAAGGAGAGGGGAAAAATCTGTTGGTGAGAGTGCTGTTGCAGTCTGATCAAGAGTGGTGATTGCAGTCCGGTTGAGAGTGATGGTTGCAGTCTGGTTGAAAAGTGGTGGCTGCAGTCCAGTTGAGAGTGGTGGTCTGCAGTCTGGTTGAGAGCAGTGGTCTGCAGTCTTCCTCTGGATCCCACGAGTGGTTAAAAGGTCCCAAGACTCCAAGATTTATATCCTCCAGTTCAGGCAGGAATGCTCAGTACCTCCCTCAGGGCCGGGGTTCCTTAATGGGTGTGAGGACTCCTATCTCGCAGGCCTCTTAGCACCTAGTTTATAGCCTGAGGAGTCAGGCTCTATGTGCAGATAGTGTAAATGGTTCATTGATAAGAGTTTCTGGGAAATGGCATGGAAGGCTATAGAATACACAGTTTTGGGTTACACCCATACAGTGATGAACTGGTCTCAGCTGTCCTAACTAGGACAATAAGTCAGACAAATTCATGATTGAAGCCACAGTGTCTTACCAAAGCTATGTGATCAAGCACAAGGCTGCCAAAAGATATGCCTGACAAGCTCTGACTTGCATGTGCCACTTCCCTTTTCAGTCCTTCCCCTTGCTGATTCCTTCTCTCTTGGCAAATGTGCTCTGGCTTTATGCCTTGATGTGCTATTCTTGATAGGGGCTGTCCTAGCCACCACAGTGATTTCGCTCTCTGGCTATTCTTTTTTAGACATATTTCTGGTTTTGGAGTTTTGGTTCCCCTTTCCACTAACTTACTTGTGTATTTAATTGTGTAATCCCTTGCATGAATACCTTTCTCCTGCCCTTTACTGTAGTCTTACTGAAAAACAAGTGACAAACTGACATGTTAATGAAGAAAGAGCTGGGCATCTTTTCATCAAGAGTGACTGGATATCTTTCTTCCTAGATTACAGTTACTGCTGGAAAAGATTTGTTGCATACCAACACGGAGAAGATGATTATTGGCCTCAGAACTTCGCTGCATACATCTTTCTGAATTGGAGAGAGCTCGGTCATATCTTTTTGGTTAGTAGACACCTGAAGAACACACTGAGAGCAAAAATTAATGCAAAGTCCCAAGGAAAGGAGGTTTGGCAATGGTGTTAGCAGAAACGATAGTATTAAAAATAAGCAGGGGCTTGATGCTGCATAAGTAGAGGGCCCAGCAACAAGAGACTGCCGAGGACTATGCCACTACACTGTGCCTATGTGACTGGGAGTAGAGAAGAGATTTAGCAGTACTCTCAGGTTTTTTACTAAGGAAAGGGTACATTATTTCAACCCTTTACATGGACCAGCTGCCAATTAATTAGCTTGCAGCTTGCTGGAGCTATTTGACCCCAAAAGCTTCTTCAGCTGTGTAATCATGTTTCAAGCACTCTCTTTTTGCTTCTGGGAATAGGGCCACTGATTTTAGCTAAGTTCTGAGCAAGTTTAAAAGCCTGGATTAGTGGATTTGCTTTCAGGATCAGAGTTTATATATAAGAGTATCATGTGACTGAGATCCACATTCCCTGTTTTTTGTAATCCATACAACTGCAGAAGTTATTTGTACAGCCTGATATCCTACTATATAAGAAAGAGAAGGTGGTCTATTGAACAGGTCTGTTGAACTCCAGTCCTAGTCTTCTAGGACTCACCCACTTCCTGGCTCACCCACTCTTTGTGGAGCAAGCCAGTTCTCGCTTGAACTGGTCCCTCTATGCAGAATGGATGGCAGGAGATGGAGGAAGGGATGCACACAACTGCATTATACAGGCAGGAACTTACAGTCACACACACAAAACTAACCTGTATGTAGGATGCTATAAGCACCTGAGGACGCTATAAACTTCCTGACTGAAGAAAAAGTACACTTTAGACTTCATTTCAATTCCATCCACCCCAAACTTTACATAGGACTTTTAATACCTCAAGACCTGACCTTTATAATTCTTGTCTGAATAAGACATTCAGGTGACAGGATACACACTCGGTAGCAATATCCAGTCAATCATCTGATCTAACAAAGTGGTTAATGCAATGTAATGGTTTAGGAGACCTTTTTCCCTTGGCTTTCAGTCTTTCTGAGTCTCCTAATGCCTGAAATGATTAAATAATTTAGCATCTTACGCACAATCAAATGCATAGTGTGATGCTTACCAGGGAGCTGAACAAAGCTCTCTGCTAAATGCTTGTGAGTACTGACAAACTACAGCTGACTCAGCACAGTTCCCTGTGCAGCAGTACAAGGTGAACATGCCCTTCAAGTCCAGGTTTTAAAGAGCCAGCTAACAAATTACCTGTTCCTCCCATGCAAGCCTTGTTGATTACTGGCCAGTCCTGGTGACTAGGGAGTTTGCACTGGGACACATGCTGAAAGTCAGGCACTCTCTCAACTGCTTTGCTGTCTCGGGAAAATACAAGCCACCCCTAAAATGAAGGTGAATACGGCCCATTATCAGTAGTTCTGCTAACTACCAGCCCTCCACAGACGGAATGGGAAGGTCTATGTGTTCAGCCCTTTTGAAAATCCAGCCCTGTTTTACTAATTACGCCGAGGTGTAATGAGGTGAGCGAGTTCCAGGCACGTGCTCCAGAGAAGCACAGACTGTTGTGTGAAGTCCTGGCCTCCCTGGCAGAAGAAAGACACTGAGGAACCAGAGAGGGTTTGATGGAATACCCCTTCAAAGGGCAGGGGGCTGGAGCACTTGCCCTACGAAGAGTGACTGAGGGAACTGGCTTTGCCAGAGGTAAAGAAAAGAAGGCTAAGTGGGATCTAACTGCAGTTTTCCACTACATAAAGGCAGTAAAAACGTAGCTAAACTCTCCTCAAAGATGCACAGAGGAAATATGAGGTAACATGCACAAGCTGCAAAAAGGGAAATTCCAACTGGATAGAAGGAAAAAGTCTCCCCTGAGAAAGGTGCTGTACTGGAACCCAGAGACGCTGGCAGACCTCCTTCCCTGGAGACACTGAGAGCTTTCCTTTGAGCTGCCAGATCCAGCTTTGGAGTTAGCCATGATGGAAATATGCTGTTGGACTAGAGACCTCAGGAGGGCCTTTCTAACCCCTGAAAAATCTGTCTTTTCACAGGAGCTAGTTCCTTTTCCCCTGGATTCAACTATGCAATCTTCCACCTTTTAAATGCTTCTATTTTTAAATGGTCTGTCTTTCTAGG